ACCACTGAAATAACTCTAAATTTCAGTGGTTTAAAGGCCCAAAAAGTTTGAATTTAACATGCTAAAAGATGATGCAAGAAGCTTCACAATTAGGTAACAAGAAGGGAGGACTACCCCTTTGCACAAAATGATCTCAAACCAACATGTCAAGGCACAAAAATCAGAGTTTTTTATAGTTGAAAACCAGGCCAAAATAGTGTAAAAAGATGGCAATTCAAATGGCTAAAACAAAGCCTACAAGGTAAGTCTTTATCTCTTGAAGCATAGCACAAAATTAGCCACAATTCTGAGTTTAAACCACCCTTAGAAGCTCAAACTAAGCCTCAAAGCACCTCAACTCAAAGATGAAGATGTTTGGTTAATGATCTCTTTGCAAAAGTGTAGAAAATTCCCACTTTCAAACACAAAATAGGGAGAGAGAGAGAATTCTAGAAAGAGAGAGGAAATTTGCTCACAAAATATCCAACCTCTTCGAATGGGGGAGAGACACCCCATTATATATAAATCCAAGCCAAAGGCTTGCATTCATCCCTCCATACACGTGTATAGAGATGGCATTCAGTGATCAACAACTGGCACAGCTGGCAAAGAAAATATCTGAAAAAGGAGAAAAATGGTCGTCGGCCACTTCACCTAGCCGACTGACCAATTCAAGTGGTTGACAAAGAGGAAAAGTGGCCGACAAGGCCAAAAAGTGGTTGGCAAGGCCCCTCCTCCTTCCAAGCAAAAGGCACCAAGGTTTGGTCCAAAAACAAGCACAAAACAAAGAGGGTTTAGAGGCTCAAAGACAAGGCGTTCCGCCGAGAACTTCGGGCACTCAAAACGAGCACAAACAAACACAATCATCGAGTGTACAAATGATGATGTCTAAGTCTTGAGGTCGGTCAAAAATGGGGTGTCTACAGCTATGACATGGATCAAGGCTTTTTCTCGGGGTTCTTCTACGAGGTCCAATTCTAAGGCAATGGCTTCAGCATTCAGGTCGGGCTTGAAATTTTCACTGAGGACAGTGGGCATTTCGATCTCCAACGGGATGACTGCCTCCATAACATATGCCAAAGCGAACGGAGTCTCCCTGGTCAAGCGTCTGGGTGTTGTTCGGTAAGCCCACAGAACATTTGGCAGTTCCTCGGCCCAATTTCCTTTGGCTCTCTCCAATCTCTTCTTTAGCCCATCCAAAATGGTTTTATTTGATGCTTCGGCTTGGCCGTTGGGCTGAGGGTAGGCTGGGGTGGAATTATAGAATTCTATCTTTAGCTCCTCACAAAATCCTCTGAACAATCATCCATCAAATTGAGTGCCGTTGTCGGAGATCAAAGCCTTGGGGACGCCGAACCGTGTTACCACATTCTACCAAACAAATTTCTTCACATCCTTTTCCTTAATTATCACCAAGGGCTCGGCTTTAACCCACTTGGTAAAGTAGTTCATCGCTGCTATAAAGAACTTGCGATTGCCTGGAGCAGTAGGGAGCGGTCCCACTATGCCAAGCCCCCACATTGCGAAAGGCCAAGGACTCGTGAGAGGGAGGAGTTCTCTAACCAGCTGGTGAATTTGGTGGGCGAACTTCTGACATTTCTCGCATTTTCTGACATATTTCTACGCATCTGCCTGCATGTACGACCACCAATATCCCTACGAAATAGCGGTAGGCTAAAGATCTTCTCCCGATGTGGCTTCCGCACATGCCTTCGTGGATCTCGTAAAGGATAGCATCAACATTGTTTGGATAAACACACTTAAGGTATGGATCGGTGAATGACTTCTTATACAAAGTGCCAAATAAAGAGAGCCAAAACCTCTAAGACTTCACTCAAACTTTGTGTGCTTCCTTTTTGTCGGTCGGCATGATCCGTTCTTTAAGGAAAAAGACGATGGGGTCTATCCAAGAAGGACCATGCTCGGTGCAGAATACTTCTGTCTGCTCCGAGTCTTCAATGTTGGGTCTTAGGAGGAACTCAATCAGGATAGGGTTGGGAGTTGATTTGTTAACCATGGAAGCTAGGCCGGCCAACTCATCTGCTCGGTCGTTATCTTCACGGCCAATTTGTTGGACTCTTATGGTTTGGAATTTCTTGATGTGTTCTCTCACTAAGGCTTGGTATTTGGCCATTCTTTCATCTTTGGCTTCATATTCTCCAGACACTTGGTTTACAACGAGTTGGGAGTCGCTGTAGACCATCAGCTCGGATGCGTGCAATTGGAGCGCGCTTTTCAGTCCAGCTAGCAGTGCTTCATACTTAGCCTTGCTGTTTGATGTTGGAAACCTGAGCACGATGGAATGTTCAATAGTTAGTTTGTCTGGCGAGATCAAAACTATGCCTAGCCCAGCTCCATGCCGGTTTGAGGCGCTATCCAAAAAAAGTTTCCATATTTCGCCAATGAAACGTTTCCAGCATTCTGAGGGATCTTGGGATGCTTGACGGTTGAGGTGATCATGGTTGTTCGACTACTCGACTATTTCTGCTACAAGCTTACCGTTGACGATTGCAATAGACGTGCCTTTATCCCCCCTCAGTGATGCGGCACTGGATCTAACAGGTTGCCTTGTTGTTTCCAAATCCAACGTTGCATTGCCAGGCTGAAGTAAACCTTCAAGTGATGGGTTTGTAGATGGGCGCGCAACTTCCACGTCGCCATCATCATTCTGTTATGCAATTTCTGCGGTGCCTACCCCCTTTAACCCGGCTGCCTCTATAAGATCCACCGGGCATACTGGGTGAATTCCATGTGAGAATTTGGCAACAAAGTCGGCAAATGTTTGGGCTTTGATGATGGTTCGGGGTTGGAACTTGACGTCGAATTGCCCCAATTCGACTACCCACTTCAGAATTCGGCCGGAGAAATCTGACCGCTCGAATAAGGCTTTCAAAGGGAATTTGGTCAACACCACGATCGTGTGAGCATGAAAGTAGTGTGCCAATTTCCTGGAGGCCATCATTAGTGCCAAAGCAAGTTTTTCTAGCAGCAAGTATCTCGACTCTGTTGATAGCAAGGTTTTGCTCACGTAGAAGATTGGGAGATGTTGGATTCCTTCCACCCAAACAAGTACCGCACTGACAGCACGTTGAGAAACAGCCAGATAAAAGTAAAGGTCCTCACCATGCTTCGGTGTGACCAAGAGTGGAGCGGAAGACAGATATACCTTTAGCTCGGCCAAGGCTCTATTACAGTTTTTGTCCCAGGAAAACTTGGACTTCAAGGCTTAGAAGAAATTGTGGTAACGATCTGATGACTGGCTTATAAATCGATTAAGCATGGCTGCCATACCGGTAAGATGTTGCACGTCTTTTGCCGAGTTGGGCTGCTTTAATTCCTGTATGGCTTTGATTTGGGTGGGGTCCGCCTCAATGCCGCGGTTGGTGACCAAAAAGCCCAGGAATTTTCCTGACCCCACACCAAAGGCACATTTTAACGTATTCAGACAAACTTGTGTTGTTTAAGAATGGTGAACATCTCTGCCAAGTCAGCCAAGTGGTCGGCCTCGTGTTTGCTTTTGACCACCATGTCATTGATGTAAGCCTCCATCGTGCGACTGAGTAATGGGGCGAACATTTTGGTCACCATTCTCTGGAAAGTCGCCCCGACGTTTTTCAAGCCAAAAGGCATGACTTTGTAGTAGAAGAATCCCCTTGGTGTTGTGAAAGAGGGAATCTCCCCGTTCAGGTTCATGCATGGCCATCTGGTGATAACCGCAATATGCATCCATGAAGTTGAGTCGGTTGTGTCCAGCTGTAAGGTCCACCAGCTGGTCAATTCTGAGCAAAAGAAAACTGTCTTTAGGACAAGCTCGATTGACCATTTTGTAGTCAATGCCGACTCGCCATTTCCCATTCTTCTCGGGTACCACGCCTGTGTAAGAAACCCACTAAGGGTAGTGCACTTCCTGGATTGCCCTAGCTTCGAGCAAGTTTTTGACCTCCTCTACCACTACCTCGACATGATGAAGGGCTAATCTTCGTGTTCTTTAAATGACAAGCCGAGCGTCCGAGAAGACATTGAGTTGGTTGCAAATAAATCTTGGATCGACGCCTGGCATGTCGTTAGGCGTCCATGCAAACACTTCAATATTCGCCACCAAGAACTGCACCATCTCCAGCCATTCGTGTGCGGTCATGCTAGATCCCAATAGGAAGGACTTGTCTAGATTGTCTTCGTTGATCCGCACCTCCACCAGATCTTCAATGGCCTTTTCTTCGGCCCTAGTGCCCACATCATCCAGGACACTTTGATCTTTCAGGCCTTCGATTATTTGCACGAAGCCTTTAGCTGCTCAGCTCTCATTCAAGGCCATGAAACACTACTTAGCCATGACCTGATCACCCCAAATCTCTTCAAACACCCCCGTAGCAGAGAGGAACCTCATAACTTGGTGGTAGGTTGATGCCACCGCCTGCATGGCGTGAAACCACCCCCTACCGAGGATCAGATTGTACGTAGAGGGTACCTTCAACACCCAGAACTCCACCTGCTTGACCACGGATTTGGCTTTGACCGGTAGGATTATCTTTCCCAAGGGCCACTCTGGTTATGAGTTGAAACCAACCAGTGGTGAAGTTGCCAAAGCCAAATCCGTATCTCTGAGTTTAAGCTGCTTGAAAGCGTCGTAGTACATGATCTCGACCGAGCTACCTTGGTCGATCAAAATGCGCTTAACATCAAAGTCCCTGACACGAAGGGTGGCCACCAGAGCGTCATTGTGTGGCGTTTCAATGTGCTCAAGATCCCGGTTCGAGAAGCTAGGCACATTTTTCTCCTCAGTCTTGCCTCTTTTGACTGCGGGCTGGATTGATAGGACTTCCCTCATATGTTCTGCTTTTTTTATCATCCCTCGGAGCTTGCAAACCCGCGCTGGCTCGACGATACCATGGATCACATTAATCACTCCTTAGGGGGTGTTTCTAGGGCAGCCAAACCGCTTGGCTTAGCCGGAACATGGTGCCCGGCCTTGACACCCTCTCCGTACAGTGCCCTCGTTTACTATAAAAGGTGCAGTGATACTACGGATTGAAGCCCTTCTGCGTATCGCCCAACTTGGCCGGAAATCGGACGTACACCTCGTTGCGGATTTCGCTAAGTATGTGGTAAACTGGAATCTTAAAAATTGTGGTGATGTCTGTCCAAACGTTCAACTTTCTATTCGCATCTGCCGCGGCATCGCGTGGGTAATCAGCTCGGTTGTTGCGGCGACCTTTACCCCGGTTTCTACGATCCGGACCACAGTTCGGTTCTCTTGCACGGTCACTTGGACGGTTTGTCTCTGGTCCAACCGTGTGTACTTTTCCAGCCACCCTTTTGTCTGTTGCCTCTGAATTCATCTTTGTGGTGGCCACGTTCGTATCATCCTCTACTCGGATGTGCTCGTTGATGCGCTGCATCAACAGCTCCATAGAAGTTGGTTAGTTCATCATGAGCAAGTCCCTCAATCTATGTTTGACCGGGAGACTGTGCTTGTATTGGGTGATTGCCATGTTGGTTGGGCAATCAAGGATCTCATTGAAAGTTTCCCAATATTTGGCGTTATATGCTTTAAGGGAGTCATCCGACTCCATCTTGACACTCAGAAGGTGGTGAACCTCCTTTGGTGTTTTGGTGTTTGTTTTGAATCGGGTCACGAATGCTTCCGCCAACCGCTGCCACATTTTGATACTTTCCTCTGGTAGCCTCTCAAACCACTTCAAGCCCAACTCGCCTAAACTCAACGGGAAAATAAGGCACATGAAAGCATCGTTACGCCTATATCCAGCCATAACCTGCCAGAAGTGGCTTACGTGCATGTACGGATCGGTTTTTACGTCATAGAGCATAAACTTGGGCTGGTGCAAGCCCGCAGGGAGTAGCATGGTTTCTATCTCAAGGGAGAAGGGGGTGGCGCTCAGCCTTGCCAAATCTTTGTCCAAAGGGACATGTACAATTAGACGGGATGGCGGCATTACGACTTCTTCACTGGCACGACCTCCGCAGGATAACCGCTGCAGCGCCGGCACCCTTTGCTCCTCTCTTCTGCGCGCTCACTCTTCCAAGATGTCCCTCAAGTCCTCTGTACGAGTGGAGTAGGAATATCTCGATGTCATCAGCGGACGTGAGGGACGGTAACTGCTGTCCTGCGCACAAGACTTCTCTGCTACCGGGTCAGAGTCTTCTTCCCCATAACTTCTGGTGATGGAGAGTAAGGGCGTGTGCCACTGGTTTTGGCTGCCTGAGTGACGGGGTTAGGTGTACTCATTGTGGTTACCCACTCCAGCAACACCCTTCCTGTCACGACCCGAACCCGCCCCCGTGGGTTAAGGACGTAACCGGCCAGTAATCATGAGATTACCTACGGCCTCAAACTGTTCTAAACGTATTCTAACAGAGTTAATGGGGGCCAAACGGAAGCAAAATTAAAAACTTTGTCCATAGAGCCGTGCTTATATGCACATCAAACAAACCATACTCAGATACGTTAATAACTCACATCAAAAGCACAGTTTCACAAAATTCATTACAGACAGGATCGTCCAAAACAAGTCAACCTATAACAGACTATGTACAGACATGCACTAAGTCCTTGCCAACAAGACAAAACATAGGTACATAGTAAAAGGGCAAGGATGGTCTCATGCGCGAGGCACAAGGCTGACTCTCCCAAAACTCCTGTTGTTCCTAGTAGACTTCACTGGGGCTGGGTTTGGACTTCCCTTGGCTCACCTACAAATACATGAATGAGCGTGAGCGATAGCCCAGTGAATAATATCAAACATAACAGTTACATAACAATATGTAGAACAACATGCTCCAAACGGCCTTGGGCCCAATTCATACTTCTGTTTAACAGCAAAAGACACATATAAATACGAAATGCAAGTCAAGTAATTTCCTAGGCAAGATTTGGTTTGGCCCGCAGGCCATATCCATTATATTGCATTTCCATTCCATTGCATATT